GCCCCCCCCCCCCTCCCATCGACAATGATTCTGGAAAGTTTACATTGAACATTTGTTCAGTGAGTTTGGCACAATCAAGAAAACTGAGTCGGGTAAATTTCCTTCCGCCCCCTTAATTTTTCCGTCCCATATGCCCATGTCTAAAGAAATCAAAATGGATAACCCTGCCTTATATATAGTTGCCCTGCCTACTAGACACGTACTGTAGTATACTTCACATCAGTGCTTTTTTGTGTTTGGTTAAATATTGTGTCTTATGATATCTAACGCTTTGACATAATCATCGATGCCATGATTTGCTGCTGACCAGGTTTGAGAGTCCAGTTCATTCAGACATGCATCTGGTAGTCCGGGTAACAGTGGGAGAAATACAGGCCGATCTCCATGTAATTGTTCCTCGTTCCCGTTATCTGGATCGTCATCAGAGTCATCATCACGATCTTGCACTGGAATAGGGGTGCTGTCAAGACCCATAGGGTTGTTGAGTTGGCCAGTTAACCACATTTGTGCAGGTGTCGACCTTGTTGTACGCATTCGGTGGTGAGCCCATGCTGCATGCCAAAGGTTCAACTTCTTGTTAACAAGTGGTATGAAAACAAAGTGAAGAGCCATCAGGTGTGACTCGTTAAGAATGTCAAGTATTTCTTCTTCCTCCATAAAATAAAACAGTTGGTAGAAAAAGCTTAGGACACCCTCGTACACATCTCTCCACAAGCGCTCGATTCTCTGGTTGTGGGTGCTCTTTCCAGCTATCACGCTTCCACGGTTTGTGCCTCGATTTTGGATCATGAATTCAGCTATACCCACATTTTCCAGACCCTTGTCAGTACGAACTCGGCTTGGTAAGCCATACTCATTGACAGCTTCCACGAAACATGACAAAACAGTGTCTGCCTTGTTATTGTCAGTACATTTTAACATGACTGGCAATCAACTGAAGCCATCGATGCCTCCTATAATAACCAGATTCCACCGGATTAGTTTGTGATTCGTGTCTATATGCCAGAGGTGGTTTGGTCCTTGGACATGATAAACCCTTCTCGCCAACCTCCCTCTCTTCCTTTGGGCAATGCCTTCGCTGTCAACTCTGTGCAGGCTTTCACGTAATCGCCAGCGCTGAACTTTTATATTTTTCCAAGCAGCATCTGCTTTATTAGCCCCTCGCCAGAGTGAGGAAATTCCTTCGTTATTTCGCTAACAACTCGATCTAATTCGTCCTCCGTAACAGTCGAAAATTCCATCTTACTAAGGTGGTACTGTCTCATTCGACGATATATTGTGCTTTCTGAAACTGAAAGAATTTTTGAGATTTCTTCTATTTTTAGATTTTGCTCAAGGTAGCACTCCAAAACAGACCGTGGTATTTCAAACATAGGAGCACCACATTCATTTCGTGTACTTCTGCTTCTGGGTTGTTTGTTCGATCCGTACTTGGAACATTCCATGCGTACTACCATAATATCATTGCGATTTTGCACTCCTAGCTTTTTAAATTCGTTTAAAGAAAGCTTTCCAACTAAATTTGGCGTTATTTTCTCAATATTAAATCTTTCTATCAAATAATCCAGCTTCAGTTTTCGTAAAATGGACTCCATTTCGGCCGCCATTTTGTAACACGCTAATGAAACTTAGTGGACTGGGAACGATAGAAATATTAACCGCTGTCCAAACATACTGGCTCACTACCACATAATGATGCGAAAGCACCTCATATAATGCTCGCACGACCGCGTATAATGTTCGAAGCACCGAATGCGCACGTAGCACCGCGTATAATGTTCGTAGCACCGCGTATAATGTTCGTAGCACCGCGTATAATGTTCGAAGCACAGCGTATAATTTTCGAAGCACAGCGTATAATGCTTGAAGCACCGCGTATAATGTTTGAAGCACCGCATATAATGTTCGTAGCACCGCATATAATACCTGAAGCACCGCGTATAATGCTCGAAGCACAGCGTATAATGTTCAAAGCACAGCGTGTATTGTACAAAGCACCGCATATAATGCCCAAAGCACAGCACATAATGTTGAATGCACCGCATATAATGATAAAAGCACCAATTGAAGTGACATTTGACCACTTAAGACAGCTATGGCTTTCCATACATATACATTGCTGTTCTATACTGCAATTTTGATAGGCAGATTGCTGTGAGCAACTTGCAACTGACGCAAACAAATTGCAAGCCCCAATCCAGTTGCTCAGACTATTTGTTTGGCTTCCCTCAATATTGTGGGATAATATTGCAATGTTGCACACAGGAGAACACCCGGTTTGACTGTATGAATGAAATGCTTCTTTGATATTTTGGAGGGTCTGAGAATTTTTTGTTTCTTGCTCAGGTGTGGGGGACGGGGGGGGGCTTTGAGAATTCTATTTAAATTTTCGGCAGAGTTCCTCACCTGCAGAGTTTCTCATCAGGCCCCCTGAACATTAAATAATCAGCGACCACTTAGTACATGCAATTTAGTAGAATTTAGTACCGTCATAGAATAGGAAATGAAGGGAACATACTGTAGTGGGCAAGGCGTAATCTCTCAATTTTATGCAGTTTAGTGTTTTAATACTGTCCAGAATAATGGTGATCAAGGTCAACATACAAACTTCAAATTGGCGTAATTATGAATAATTTATGTTGCATGCATGTATTTCTAGTTAATAAGTAATAGAACGATTTAAGTCGTGTTATTAGTATAGGTAATCAGGCAATGGCGAGTACAATTAGGGATTAATAGTACGAGTGATGTTTGGAAATTTTGCCAAAATTGGACGAGCCGCCGGGGCGAGTCCAATTTGGCAAATATCCAAACATCACGGGACTTATCCACCGGATAGCGATTTATCCACCTTTCTTACAACCGGCCCCTTTCGACTTTGACTCCGCTTATAACTGACTTTCGAACAAGTGCATGTTCTTTTTCATTAATAAATTAACAATCAACGATAATGTCTACCATTCTGAGGTAACTGGAAAACCTTCAGTTTCCGGCACAGGTTTTAGACAAGGTATAATCTTGAACATGTAGACTGCAGATTAAACACTTTTTCCAGGTCTGGAAATTGGTACATTTGTGCATTGTTTAATATGATACTGAGGTCCTTTACTTAACCCATTGAGTTTAATCTGATGATTACCATCATTAATTGCACTCTCCCGGAGTGCAATTAATGATTTTCGTGATGGCTGGGTGGGAACGGGAAATCAAAACAACAAAAATCCAACATGGCGGCGAAATTTATATTGTATAAATAATAAACGTTGACAAATTTAACTAAATTTTTGGCACAAGAATGAGTTTAATTTTTTAAAAAATGGTATCGCGAATATAATAGAACCTGTGGAAAATATCTGGAAACAGTTTTAAGAAATAATATCGGTGGGATGCAGCGAAACATGCCGGGCGGAATTAGTACCCGGAACGGCTCTCCGCGCCGTTGGCTCGGGGATAAAAAATAAATAGACATACTGTATAACAAAGAATACAAGATGTCGTTTAGAATACAAACATATACAAAAAATAGTAATATTTAAATATCTTTGACTTGGGTTCTACTTGTTGATTTATACTTTTCCCCTGACTTATCAGAGAGAAAAGCACCTGCAGTCTCTACTACTGTTCGATGGATGACTACTGCATAATCCCAGATTTGCGTGATGCATTCTGCGTCTTTGACTCCGAACGTAAACTTGCCAATTCGCTCCAAAATCTCCTTACAGCATCTATAATCTCTGGCGTCTTGCAATAATTCATCGCTATACAATGTCCACTTGAGCGCCTTAAAATAAACTCACATATCAGACGAAACAGGGTAATAAATACAGTAGTCGAGGAACGGGTTAATATATTATATTTATAACTTTACTTACAATGAATTAACAGCTACATTTTTCTTAAATCTCGTCTCAAGAGTTTCACGAATAATGGCGTCTTCGTCCTTTTGGTCTTACAAGTAGTCACTATCTGCCACTGGCTCAAATTGATACGGTTGAACAACAGACGATTACTCAGCGAAGTTCTGATTTTCTGTTGACCCTTCTGTCTCTGTCTGTGATTCAAAGCTTCGTTATCGGACATATTTGTAGCGAAATATAAAGGCAACTGTCTGATGTTCGTGATGTTTTGTTGTTTTCGTATAGTCAAACACTTCGACGTGTCACACTGCATACGTCACAAAACCGGAACTCTGGGTACCAGTCTTTCGCAAGTTGATAGTCTCAAAATCAACTTTAATCGTTAACTTAACAAACTTCTAGTTCGAATTTTTCAACTCAAGGTTGGCATTTTTATAATGGGAGAAGACCAAATTTTCAGAAAATGCAAAAAAAAACGATATCGAAATTTTCATTGCATATACACTTTAATACCTCTTGACAAAATGCAGTTGAATTTTAAAGAACGCGATTTATCATGCATATAATAAATAAATAATCATACGGGCAAGTCGTGCAATTAATGATTAACACTACTCCCAATATTTGAAAACAATGTGCCAAGTTACACTCGCCTCAGCGGCTCGTGCAATTTTGGCACCTTTTCCAAATATCACTCCAAGTGTTAATCATTAATTGAACTCCTTCCCGTGTGATTAGCTATACTTAATAGTCATTGGCTCTTGTGTATTATATTATTCCATCACTAATAGTATAATTATTAACTACGCATCATTCCAAGTTATTACTCTGGAAATGACCACACTTGGCTTTGTGTCCAAGAATATTGCAAAATTCCGCAAATTACTAAAATACCTTTAACCTTGTAGTGACAATCGCATAGTATGTAGCTTAATGTATTGAGGTACTTCGGACGTCATTCTACATATATTGTCGGATCGAGAAGTAAGCCGAGGAATGATCTAGAATTAGGGAAAGTACATTTATTACGCCGAAGGGGGGGGGGGGGGGGG